GCTTTTGAACCAGTAAAGATAACACTATGCAACATCTAAAATTTACCTCGATGGATGCTATATTTTTGAATTCGTTACTAATTTCTAAGGATTCTTAGCACAAGAACCTCAAAGTTCGAAAAATGCTGAAATTAGCCAAATTTTCGGAGGTCCCAGAGGCAAACGGATTACTGGTTTGTATTGATGTAAACTTTTTTAAAAGATTCACTATTTATCTTTCAAACACCATCATTATTATTAATTATATTAGGATTTTCTTAAAGTGTGAATCGAATCAAAGAAAACGTAGTCAAAAAACATAAAAGCATACAGCTGTGGTCAAAATAGTAAAAGTGTTGCCGCCCTGTGTTTTTATAAGTTTGTTGTTGTAACTTTTCTTATCCAATTAGTCTAATAGTACAATTATAATCAATACAATATTACCAGAAAATAATAAATTACAACAACAAACTTTTGAAAACAAAATGGTGGCAACAGTACTACTATTTTGACCGCATCTGTATACTTTTATGTTTTTTGACTATCTTTTCTAGAATTTGTTTCTTCCTTAAAATAAATCCTAAAATTATTCTAAGTATGGGGTTTGAAAGATAAAGAATGTATCTTTTAAAAAAACTTTAACATCAAAACAAACCATGAATCCGTTTGCCTCTGAGACCTCCGGAAAGTAGGCCAGTTTCAGCATTTTTCGGACTTTGAGGTCCTTGTGCTAAAAATCCTTGCGTCGGGGAAGTTTTTGGAAAACAAAGTTTAACTTGGGAATTCCTAACGAATTCAAAAATATAGCATCCATCGAGTTAAATTTAAAAAGCATTAATTTTGCTGCACAGCGTAATTGAATGATATAAAATTAATGTTTGAGACAGAGAGTGGGGGTGGCAGGTTCGTCCTTACAAATCGGCAAAGTCAAAATTTATGAACAAACTCATTTTTTTTTCGACGAAAATATTTTTTTAAAAGTTTTTTTATGCGTTTTGATTTTTAAAAATTATAAAAAAAATTTTTGAAAAAGAAATTACTCCAGCTTACAAAATTAAATTTTCCCTCTTTCTTATCGAAGACAATCTAAATTTTCCGGTAAGTACATCTCCCTGATTAAGAAATGTGCACTTAACATTTTTTTTAAGGTGCCAATTTTTTTTAAAGTTCAAAAAACGTTTTTGGCCTTTTTTTATTTTCTATATCGAGCTCTGATAACCTTATTTGGGTCATCTTAGACTCATTTTACACTCATGAAATCCGAAATTAGTTTTATAATTTCTACTTAAAGATGCAACTTTAAGCAAACTAATAAGTCCATCAGCTCAAAAATAAACCAAGGGTTCCATTTTATATACGGCCCTGTCTACCTGAAGAAGTCTGAAGTCTTTTTCAGCACTATTTCACTAATCAAACAAAAACGACCCATTAAATAAAACATTAAAAAGTTTTCTCATTTGGCACGTTTTCTTCAAAAAGTACAGCTGTACATGCATTTTGCATTGTAGCGTGCCATATGTGAAACATTTCTTAAATTATATTATGTGTTATTTAAAAGAAATCTATGATAGCTATTATTGACATTTTCATGTTGCATTGTTGATTAATTAATTTCTGGATCCTAAAACAAAATATAGGACAAACCGACAAACACACATGAAGGTTTCATTTTGCAAATGACGCAAAAATTAAAAAAAAAATGGTCATAACTTTTGAACTTTTGGTCAGATTGGGACAATGTTGGGCTCGTTCAACACACTTTTACAAAAAAAATATTTAAATTTATATAGAAATTCGTTCTAATCCACCGGGTTTTTAATTTTTTTCTTTTTTCCTTTCATGAAAATTTTTTCTAAAGCAATAAAGTTCTGAAAAATTTTAGAATCAAAGTTTAAAATGAATAATAATACCTTTAGATAGGTATATAACTTGTTTCAATTTTATCAGATTTTCAATTCTTAGTAGTTGGTACTTAGAATTACTTACTAACTTAGTACTGCTTAGTACTTAGTAGTCTTCTCTCAATTCGTCATTCCGTGGACTACCGTCAACAGAGATATGCCTACATAACAATGTAGGTCCTACGCACAGCAAGTTTATTTCGGCCGAGCGCCACGCCCCCTCTAACGCCCACAATCGCCCACTAACGATTTTAAAATGTGTCTGGCGTCCACACCTTTAAAGATTTCCGTGAAGTATAAATGCAATTTTGTTGCGTATATTTATACCTATCAAAATGTAGAAGACATTTTTCAAATCGGACCATTCATTAAAAAGTTATGCGCAATCAAAAATATGTTATATATCCATCTCCCTCGCACTCCCTTTAGCTGAGTGACGGGTATTAGATAGTCGGGACAGCAACCCGACTATAGCGTTATCTCTTGTTTTTTTATCCTTTACCATTTATTTGAATCAATATTTTTAGAATTAGTCTAAATCTTATTAGGAACTTAAGAACAGTAAAACTGGTTATTAGGGTTATTAAGAATTAAAATGGTAAACGAAACATTTTAATATAATCCATAATGGCCTTTACCATTTGGGAGATAATTTTCGGTACACCCTTAAGTGTTAAAAAAATTTTCCTGACTCCAGGTAAAATAAAATTTTTTATTATTGGGTTTTTTTAATTTAAAAGCTTTTTTATACTTACGAGCTAGAAAAAGATCATCGTAAGAGTCAAATAGGGGCCGTTCTTTTGCAAACCAAACCCATTTTTTGATTCACATTTTTACTTTTCCAAAAACCTTACATATAAGTTGGGTCATAAGTTTGTAACGCAGTGAAAGAGATTTAAAACTTTCACAGTCGTCATAAAACATGTGTACGCATATCAAGTTTGAAAAGCGCCCCGATCGGACGTCTATATCCTACACCTTCCGCACAATATTTTATTTTTGCTGTTCTAGTCAAATTTTTATTTGAGATGTCTGCAAGGGTATTAAAAATTCGGCTTGCCAAAGTTAGCTTCCTTCCTAGTTTTTTTAAATAACTTGGATATTTAACTAAGAATTATGAAATAATGTAACAAATGTAACCACCGATAAGAAAAATTTTTATTTAGTTAAAAAGGAAACTACCATATTTATAACCTTTGCAGAGGGTATTATAATTTCAGTAAGATGTTTGCAAGGCAGTGAAGGAGACGTTTCCGACCCCATAAAGTATATATATTCTTGATCAGGGTCACTAGCCGAGTCGATATAGCCATGACAGTCTGTCCGTCTGTCTGTCTGTCCGTCCGTATGAACGCTGTGATCTACAAACTACAAAAGCTAGAAGGTTGAGATTTCCCACACATATTCTTGGGCTTCATACGCAGCGCAAGTTTATTTCAGCGGAGCGCCCCCTCTAACGGCCAAAATCGCCCACTAACGATTTTAAAATTTCCGAGGAGTGTAAATGCAATTTTGTTGTGTATATTTATACCTATCGAAATGTAAAAGACATTTTTAAAATCGAATCATTTATTAAAAAGTTATACGCGATCAAAAAATGTTATATATCCATCTCCCTCGCATTCCCTTTTGCCGAGTGACGGGTATTATATAGCCGGGACACCAACCCGACTATAGCGTTCCCTCTTGTTTTTCCTATTAATTTCCATTTTATTTTCCGACCGTTCCTCTTGCAGATATATGATATAGTGATCCGATTTTCTAAAAGTTTTATTCAAAACTCAGAAATATATAAAAAATAATATTCCCAATACTAATATTTAAAAAAAAACCGAAGCTAGAATTAAAAAAAATTTTTTTTTTGATTCTCCCTATGGGAGCTATAAGATATAGTCGTCCGATCCGATCGGTTCCGACTTATATACTACCTGCAATAGAAAGAAGACTTTTGGTAAAGTTTCAAGCCGATAGCTTCAAAACTGAGAGACTAGTTTGCGTAGAAACGGACAGACAGACGGACCGTCAGACAGACATAGCTAGATCGACTCGTCTGGTGATGCTGATCAAGACGGAAACGTCTTCTTCACTGCGATACACTTTGTATTATCTAGACCTTAATAAGCAATTTATATGTTTTTAAACGCAGGTTATATCTTTTGTATCTTCTGCTAAGTCTACCACCGACTCTGGATCAAATACTCTATTTTTGCCCATTGCAAATGGAACACGCTTTTGAGTTGTCGGTGCTATTTGTCTTTGACTATATTGTCAATGATCATTTCATCACTCGTGAGGGATATTTTTTTTCCTCACTTTTTCATCATTTTATTTTCCTCACTCATGATGAATATTTTTCGATCAGTGAGCGATATGTATTTGAATGAGCAAAGATGACAATTTGTTTATATCGTGATTGATATATATTTATTTTCATCACAGTCAGCTTTTTTTGAGGGATATTTAAAATGAGTGATGCTTACGAACCTTAGTTAGCCTTATTGTGTACGTCAATATCTTGCAACAATTTTGTATAAAAGGTCTTTCACAATTTTTGTCTGGCAAACTTATAAATTTTACACTTTTTCAACGCAATTGAATACCCTAATTAATTTTTTCATTTTTTCACCTACTGCGTAGAAATCCGGCTACCTACGTTTCTTTTGAATTTATTTTTCTGAAACCTTTTCTTTTTAAAGTTAAATAAATATGTATTTCTTCTTGTTGGTAAAACAATGTATTGAGCTTTTTTTCATTTAGGGCTTGTTAAAAAAATGTGATCACGTCAAGAAATTTTGATTCATATGAAGTTTTTTGTTTTGGACGACTTTTTATTAGGTTGAAAACCATCTCTTAAAATAAGACAGGTGCTCGAAAATGTAAAAAAATTAGGTAACAAATCAATGCTTATAGTATATGTACAGTCAAGTCAAAAATGTGAAATCCGCTCAGTTTGTAACAGAACGGCCCATATTTTTATGTTCTTCTCTCTTCTCTTATGGTGGTCTTATATTTTTATTCTAAGACATCCAAGTATAAACATAAGACCGTATTCATAATAAGAAACAATTTGTTGAGCTATGATACTCAATTATATTATAATATGTTGGCTTATTTTCTTACCTCTTCGCAGAGAGCAAGCATACGTCTCGTACTTTCCAGGGACTGAAACGAAAAAGTATTTGCTTTAAATTACTATGTTACATAAAGAATTTAAGGGTTATACATTGTATAATATACAAATAATTTACAAAAGAACCGATTTGTAGACATTCGATATAAGCCAGACTTTTTTCACTTGTTTTACTAAACGTGAACAATCACAAAAAACCCTTGTCCAAAGAATTGAATTTAATGATGACTTTGATTTTTGTATGAAAACAAATTTTTTTTTTATACTCGTTACCATTGTAAATTGTAGAGTAAAAGGGTATATTGCTGTTCAATTGTGACCGTGCCGAAAGTGATGTACACGGCTGTCACAGTAAAAGGGCTCTTGGGATTAGTTAAACGACTGAAGTCATATATAACAATTCAATCTTTAATTCACTATTTTTATAACGGTTACACTTCACTATGGTTCGTTAATTTAATATTCGCAATGGAAAGAAAATAAACGAGGACGGAAGCTAACTTAGGCAAGCCTAAGTTTTAATATCTTTGCAGATTTCACGAATGAAAACTTCAGCAAAATATTCTATAATTGAAAAAAATAAAAATTTAAAATATTTCACCCTATTGTTCCTATGGGAGCTATATGATATAGACATCCGATCAGCACGCGCTTTTACCCTGACCAAGGTATGCGTAAAAGAATAAGATTTAGAAAGATTCATGTCAAAAGCTCTTACACTGAGCTAAATATCTTCATTTTTAGAAAGCTATAACCGATTGTTCCCATGGAAGCTATAGGACATCAAATAAAAACACCTCTTAGCGAGGTAAAAAACACCTTTAACATACAGTTCTGATATCAACATTTGTGACAAAAAATTATTACATTCGTCCTTACATACACTTTCTAAAATTTTCTGATTCGGCCCGCCTTAGCAAACTATTCCAGCCTTTTTATACCCTTGCAGAGGGTATTATGATTTCAGTCAGAAGTTTGCAACGCAGTGAAGGAGACGTTTCCGACCCCATAAAGTATATATATTCTTGATCAGCATCACAAGACGAGTCGATCTAGCCATGTCCGTCTGTCCGTCTGTCCGTCTGTCCGTCTGTCCGTCCGTCTGTCCGTCTGTCCGTCTGTCTGTTTCTACGCAAACTAGTCTCTCAGTTTTTGAGCTATCGGGACAAAACTTTCGCAAAAGTCTTCTTTCTATTGCAGGTAGTATATATGTCGGAGCCGACCGGATCGGACAACTATATCTTATAGCTCCCATAGGAACAATCGGAAAAAAAAAACTTTAAAAAATTCTAGCTTCGGTGTTTTTTGAAATATTACCTTCTACTTTTGGGGATGTTATTTTTTAAATATTTCTGAATTTCGAATAAATTTTTTTAAAAATCGGACTACTATATCATATAGCTGCCATAGGAACGATCGGAAAATTAATGGAAAAGTAATAGGAAATAAATTCAAGCTTCTTTGGTTTTTATTGTATTATCTTCTACTCTAGGATATGACTCTTTTTAAATATTTCCGAATTTCAATTTTAATTTGATCAAAATCGGACGACTATATCATATAGCTGCCATAGGAACGATCGGAAAATTAATGAGAAATATTAGAAAATTGAACATTTTTGCGATTTGTTAATTAATAGGAATGATCTGCAAGGGTATATAAGCTTCGGCTGGCCGAAGCTAGCTTCCTTTCTTGTTTTTCTTCACTCCTCACAGGCTTTTTTATTGCAGCGTGCCGAATGAGAACATTTTAGAAAGTGTATGTAATGACGAATGTAACAAGAAAGGAAGCTAGCTTCGGCCAGCCGAAGCTTATATACCCTTGCAGATCATTCCTATTAATTAACAAATCGCAAAAATGTTCAATTTTCTAATATTTCTCATTAATTTTCCGATCGTTCCTATGGCAGCTATATGATATAGTCGTCCGATTTTGATCAAATTAAAATTGAAATTCGGAAATATTTAAAAAGAGTCATATCCTAGAGTAGAAGATAATACAATAAAAACCAAAGAAGCTTGAATTTATTTCCTATTACTTTTCCATTAATTTTCCGATCGTTCCTATGGCAGCTATATGATATAGTAGTCCGATTTTTAAAAAAATTTATTCGAAATTCAGAAATATTTAAAAAATAACATCCCCAAAAGTAGAAGGTAATATTTCAAAAAACACCGAAGCTAGAATTTTTTAAAGTTTTTTTTTTCCGATTGTTCCTATGGGAGCTATAAGATATAGTTGTCCGATCCGGTCGGCTCCGACATATATACTACCTGCAATAGAAAGAAGACTTTTGCGAAAGTTTTGTCCCGATAGCTCAAAAAACTGAGAGACTAGTTTGCGTAGAAACAGACAGACGGACAGACGGACAGACGGACGGACAGACGGACAGACGGACAGACGGACATGGCTAGATCGACTCGTCTTGTGATGCTGATCAAGAATATATATACTTTATGGGGTCGGAAACGTCTCCTTCACTGCGTTGCAAACTTCTGACTGAAATCATAATACCCTCTGCAAGGGTATAATAATTTTTCGTCACAAATGTTGATATCAGAACTTTTGTATGTTGAAGGTGCGATCGTCACTAGTTTTTTACCTCGTTAAGAGGTGTTTTTATTTGATATCAGAAGTTTTTCTTTGTTTACTTTTGCTCTCACAAGAGCTAATATATGTTAACACTGTTAAGGAGTAATTATAAGTCGATACAGATCTTGGGTGATTTTTGGATCACCCTAGTGTTTAGTTGCAAAATCAGCATAAACATCTTTTGGGGCCGTGCCTGGTTCTTATTGGTGCACTGTATGGTGAGTTATGTTGATTTTGCTAGTGTCAGCACTTTGCTGCACGAGCGGTCGGATTACCGGCCGCGCATAGCTTACGTAAAGTCAAATATGTTTTTAGTTTTACTTGGACATTCATTAAAGAGCATTGGCTTGAGTATAAAACTCCGGCATTGGCCGTCAACATTTACTTTATTAATTAAAATTGGTTATCGAGCTGATCAAAATTAATACAGTCAAACTTCACATACACATACAGGGAAAAAATAAATATTTACACAAAATTAAAAATTTTTTAAAGCAATTGTAAAGGTGACTTATAGATAAAGGGAATTAATATTAGCCGTCCCTAAATAAAATTTTCTTTCGGACGCCAAGCACCCGGTTATTAATATAAAATTATAATAAACATTCGGCCTTCCAATAACTTGTGTTTAGTGTCAACTAATTAGTGGCCTTATGAGTTTTCCAGGCCCATATAGGGAAACTAGAAAAAGACTTGACAGTGACAGTGAAGAAGAATTAATCCGTAGCTATCAACCAGCACGGGCACAACAAGAAAATAACGCAGAAAACATGAACGCGGCACAAATAGAGGCGGTAATTCAGGCCGCATTAGCTATCCAAGAACAGAGGCTTAGAGCCGAATTCGCGGGTCAGATCAATGCCGTTAATTAACAGCTTCAGAGCTTGCGTATAGAAGCGCCAGAGGTAGAATGTTACCAGAGGGTAAAGGTAGTACCGGGAGCACCACAGTGCGGTATATCATTACATATAGTGAAGTCAATTCCAGATTTTACTGGCGTACAAGATGAGTACGTGGCATGGAGGCAATCCGCCACCGATGCCTATGAATTATTCGAGGCTTACGAGGGCAGTTCCGCGCATTACCAAGCCGTTACTATTATTAGAAACAAAATTAAGGGACCAGCGCGCGCGCTGCTAGTTTCTTATAATACAGTGCTTAATTTTAAAGCCATACTAGCTAGATTAGACTGCTCCTACGCAGATAAAACATCTTTGCGCCTATTACGACAGGTACTTGAGTCGGTCCGCCAGGGCGACCAAACACTCATGCAGTATTACGATGAGGTCGAAAGAAAATTGACCCTCGTTACAAACAAAATTAACATGACACATGATGACGAAAGGGCTTCATTACTTAATTCAGAGGTTAGGGCTGACGCCCTACACGTATTTATTTTCAGCACAGCCAAAAGACCTGCCAGCAGCACTGGCATTAGCTAGAGAGGCAGAGGCCAGTATCGAACGAAGTATGTTCGCGGCCACATATGACAAAGTAGCTGAGCAAAGAAGTCAAAATACATATTATCACAAGGGCCAGCACAAAGCTCCCGAGAAACAAGGGAAAAATTCTGGTGCCGACCACGGACCAGAAAAAAATCCCCATTTTTTCAAAAAGCCAAACAAGTATCAGAACAACCATTCATGGCGTAAACAGGAAAACTGGGTAGATCAGGGTTAACAAAATCAATCGCAGGAACCTATGGATATTGATCCATCATATTCCAAAGTCCGACATCCTACGAGTTTTAGACAGGGAAACAACAATCAATACCAAAATTTGCAGGGCCCAAAAAGACCAAACTCTTCGGAGAGATATTTTTCTCAAAAAAGCTGTTTTTTTCATTAGCATTTTGGGGGGGGCTGGTAGGGGGTGGGGTCTAACATAATTTTAGACCATAAGTATGTTCGCCAATATGGCTTTGAATCCTTTAAAGATTACGTTCCCCCTATACGATTTTTGGGGTCCCAAATCGACCCACCCTGATGACAGTGTCTTATTTGACGGTAACGACCTCGTCAATTTTTTAGATAAAGGTCTCGCTTGCCCTTCATTGAGCGAGGGCTGGCGGTGAAAACTATAAAAATCCTCATAGACACTGGAGCGGCAAAGAGTTATGTAAAGCCCCTAAAGGAGCGGAAGAACATAATGCCTGTCGACTCCCCATTCACTGTGAGTTCCATTCATGGCTCCAGTAATATAAAAGAAAAATGCTTCATGCACATATTCGGCCTAAAGGCTCAATTTTTTTTACTCGATACTATCAACACTTTTGATGCCATAATAGGTTCTGATTCTCCACAAACGGAGGAAAGTATGAATTTTGTCATCTACCCTTTGGACTAAAAAATGCGGGAAGCATCTGTGGCGACCAATCTGGCAACCCGAAGCTAACAGCTGAGGTCATAAAATAACTCTGGATCGATATCAAAATTGGATG